AAAAGAAAAAGTAAGTATCAACTTATATTATAAAAAATAAAGTAAAAAATATCTTTAAATTTTATTATTTTAATAAAATATCTTAATTTTTAAATGAAGAATGGGTTTATTTTAACCTTTACTTATAGTATTTTATTAAAACAATATAATTTTAAATATTTTATCACTTAATTTTTATTTTACTAATTAACATTCACTAATCACCTTGCAAAATAAATAAAGATATACACATAAATAAATTTATATATATTTTTATTATATACAGATTTTTATGGGGTCCGGGTCTATAAGACAAAAGAAATTTCCTAAAATTTTTCAAGAAAAAATTTCCTCTATCTCTACTTTATAAAAAATTTCTTTAAATTTTTACTCCTACAATATAATTCTTACAAAACTTCTCGAGTTTAGAAACAAAACTGGTACCCCTAAGTGGTGGCTTCTCTAGAGTGACGATTCGTGACGACCTTGACACAAGCGTAGCCCTTAGAATCTACTCTCTTTCTTATCTGGATCAGCACCTCTAACGTGTCATATGATGTGGCAATTTCATTGGGACATGTCACGAAACGGTTTGATCATCCCAACTGCTGGAATCGAAAATCTAACGGGTGGGATGCATCCATATTCAATCCTATTGTTGGGTTCTGTTGCATTTGAGCCAAATTATTCCAAACCCAAATATATTTGGTTGTATTTGGGCAAATGGATGCATTTAGTTACATATTATGGACACGCTTTATTGACCTCAGTTATTTATGATTGATCGACGGTGATGGCAACACGATACCAACTTTGGTCAAACAACTGGGAAAATCCATTGCCGTTGATCAGAAATACTTACCAAATTATTCTAATACAAGGTCAATGATGCTGATGATGCTAATAAAAGCAAGATAAACAAGAATTTGATTAAGTTAGTACTTATTAATATAAAAATCTTAATTTTAAATTAAAATTAAAAATTTAAACCTTTGTTATACTAAGAAGTTAACCATCAATGTACTAAAAAAAAAAAAGCAAGAAAAAATGGTGTGCACAGGTTAGTGAAGTTGGAAGAAGTCAAGAAAACAAGCACGAGAGGACGCCATGCCCTTATATTTACATGGCATTTATGGAACTAATTTTGTTCATTGCTCTTTCATATATATATATATATTTTTTTGTTTTCCAATACCATTCTTCTTGTTCAACTAGATATAAAAACTTAATATATAATAACTGAACTCAGATGTTGAAAATGAAATTGTAATTAATAATATAAAACAGTATTTTATAGACTTGATATTATATTGGACTATAAAATACAAACCATTATATTAAGAGAAACCTTCTAATAATAAAAGAGAGGCTCTTCATTCGATGATTGGTGTTTTGCTATCCGTTAGCACGAAATTCTTCAGAGTAATATCATAAATAGATAGAGAAATGTTTGAAGAAAATTTAATTAAGTATTTTTTATAACATAAATATTCAAATCTTTTGATTAAGACTTTTGCAATCCATTATTTATATTCCATCTAGTATGTGCTTTTGGTGGTATAGAATCGTAATTTATATTGATGTGAAATTAATATTGGGTCAGATTTTTTCTTTTACAGATAATATGACAAACTATATAGATGATATGTATTAAAATTTGTCATGTAATTTAAGGATACAAGTAAATAAAATATAAGAAGTGTTATTATTTGATGTAACTTTCATACATTTTCCAGCACTTTATCACACCTTAAAACAAAATTTGTAGCAGGAAATAATTGTATCCTGCAAAATTTTGTAGGAGTCTTTTATTTACAAGGCACTAGAATTCAAAGGCAGTGTATTTGACCTCCAGGCCTTGGGTTTGGGAGATTCTCTTATTTTCAATTTACCTGGAGAACCTACCTCCTCTGTAATCAAGTTTTGGCTTTTTTTTTTTTTTTTTAGGAGGTATCTGACTTTTAACCCCCCTAATCCAGTTTAAAGACTTGGGATTTGATCAATTCCAACTAAGTACTTTATCACACCTTATAACAACTTCTACAGCATGAAGTACTTTCATGTATCCCTCAAAATGTTAAATTTGATTTGTTCATGCAAAATGGATTGGGCATGATATGCTTGATTCTTCCTGTCAGTACATGGTTCTAGGATTTAATAATCTGAGCCTAAAATTTAATAACTTAGGTCAAGATGCTGATTCCTTAAAATAATCTTCTAGTTTATATTATGCAAATTACAGACTTTTAACATAGAAAGAACATTGAAGAATTGTGGCAGGGCATTTGTAATTAATTTCCTTTCACATATTTGAAAATGGGAGGACACGGTGACGATGAAAACAATCCAACCTTAGGCCACATTGTGCCTTGCCTCAGCCTATCGCAAATAGACGTGCAGTAATTCAGATAGACAACCACAGTTCTCAGAGCATCAAATTCTAGCCAGTAAGGAAATAATCTTTCCATCTCAATCCTACACTATCCCTACAAATTAAAAGATAAATTCAAAACCCATTTTGGTGAGTTTAAACAACATAAAGTCTCACCCACAACCACTAAAAGGTAGCCCAAATGCCAGAGAAAACTGATACCCTATCCATGCCCAAAAAAATGCAGAAAGATTCTAGCAATTTTACCATGAATCAAATGATTCAGTGATATTAGCAGTTATACATGTCCTAACACTTGAATGTCAAAAATAATTATTTGTATGATCAAAATAGTTACATAGGCAAAAACAAATTTGTATGCTGATTTTTAATCATGTTAGAATATTGCATATTTCCCTTCAATTATACACGTTAACCAAAATGCACTTTGTGCCATTTATCTGAGGTAAGTTTGTAACAGAGAAAATTAGTACATTATCTAGGATTATGCAAACACATTATATGGTATTAATTGAAGTCTCAAAAGTAAAATAGGAACATGAGTATATCAGTATATCAACAGCTAAATTTTCCAAATTCAAAAGCTTTAATTAGCTTCCATGTTTCTCTTGTATCCAAACAAACATATACACTTGTCTGAAGGCAGGGCTATCTAATAAAAATATCAGGCTATATCAATTACAGAATAAAGTACATTGGATTTTAGTTACCTTTAAGACAAGCTTGTCATAGCATTGTTCTACATTCACTCAAGTTTTTGCACTGCACTCTATAAAGAGGCATCCATATTCTTGACACCCAACCCTTCCTTTTAGAAATCCGTTTCACTTTCTTGTGAAAGATCACTGATGATTAAATCCCATGCATAAAATAACACTCAAGAATTATTATCCATAACATCAAATAGGTCTATGAGAAAGTTTCAAATGAACTTGAAATTCAATTGCCAACTGTAGCAAAATGAAACTCAGATACAAACATTGGTCAATCAAACAAAAAATTCACTACTTCTTGACTCATACACATTATCAACTTGGTTTCTAACAAGCATCTTAATAGATTTGCAAATGTTTCCTACTATGTAACATCATATATTATCTCAATACCACAAGTTAAAAATACTGCATCAGAATAAATTAATAGCCTCTAAGTATGATTAGCAAGTCCTTATATTTCACCCCCCCCCAAAAAAAAAAAGAAAAAAAGAAAAGCATTGATATAATAGCAACAGCAAGAGAGTACTCAACTGTAACCAATTAAGAAGTCACGTTCAAAAATTGAGTCAATCTGTTCATGGCCAGAGCAGACGTCTTTAAGGGCACACATTGAGACCATCAAATTTGAAACTAGATGTCAAATAAGAAGCAGGGAAGCAAGGATCGAAAAATGAATGGCAAAACCAAAACAATTAAGAAAAAGGACAAAGAAAGTTTTTAAGCTCTTACATCTTATCCTGCATCAATACCACAAACAAAATACTACATCAGCATAACAGTCTTTAAGCACAGTTAGCAAATACCTAGTAAGGGTACTGAAACTACAAAAATCTGGTCAATCTTTTCCTCGCCAAAGCAGACATCTTTAAGAGCAAAATATAGAGACTACTGAAAAAAGGAATCAAATTTGACGTCGGGCAGCAACGGCTAGAAATGAATGGCAAAACTGTAACAATTAAGGAAAACTTAAAAAGGACAAAGAAAGCTCTAAAATTTCCCTCTGTAGTTGTCTCAATACACATGCAACTATCGCAACATGATTTTTGCTAAATCCCCTAAGGTAAATAGAGGGTAGCACGCAACAGGTAATTCATGATTCATAGTTACACTACTAAATTTTTTAAATAAGTGAACCTAATGTTGATGAAAAAAAA